CAGTGACCATGCAGGGCACGCACGCAAAAATTTGCCACATTTCGAGTCCGTATGGATTTTCTATGATTTTCCGGGTCGAAAACCCCTAAAATACTGCCCGAACGTGACGCAACTTGCGTTCGTTGTCGGATTTCGTTCATTTTGGCCGTGGGGTGCCCGGGTGGGGCCCCACACGCGCTGCCAAAAGTTGGGTGCATTCCGTGAAACCGCTCAGGTACTTGCTGTGGAAGGGGGTGGTTGCGGTATGGCCGGAGGGGACCCTCGGTCGCACGTCTCCGCTTCGCATCCGCCAAACGTGCCCAATTTTTTTCACGGGCCACAGTGACCATGCAGGGCACGCACGCAAAAATTTGCCGTGTTTCGAGTCCGTATGGATTTTATACGATTTTCTGGGCCGAAAACCCCTAAAATTTTGTCACGTCTCGCGTTTCCAGAAAATTCGTAAATGTTAACGAATTTAAAACTATTTCAGATAATTTTAATGAATTTAAAAATTCTCGGATTCATAAATGTTAATGAATTTAAAAATATTTCAGAAAATGTTAATTAATGAATTAAAATATCTCACCTTTTTGATTATTTTTTAATTTGTTAAATTTTTTATTTCTTAATTTTCATTTTTTCATCCACCGGGCTTTACTATATGCACATATTTTAACAACATCTGAACATTTCTAAAACACTTCATAAACATTTAGAAACACTTTTGACTTTTTATTCAGTTTTCTTTTATATTTTATGTGTTTTCATGATTTTTTTGCTACAATTTTTAGATAATTGAATACCTTATTTTGTGCTATGTATATTCGATGGAAATTTTTTAAATATATTGTGAACATTTTTATGCATGGGTCGGAAAATTTTCAAATTTTTGTTAAAATAAGCATTCAATATTTTGCTAATTTTTTGAACAAACTTTGAAGACAAATTAAAACAACATTCAAACAAACTTGATTGAACATAGATATATTTTACATAGTCCATTAAACACTACGGAAACGAAACGAGTTCATCCGAACATAAACGATTCATAGTTCATACTTGCAACATTTTAAAAAAATACAACTACTCCTCGTCGTCGCTACCCAGCAGATCGATGACCGCACCGTCACCGCCGTCACCGCCGCCGTCGTCGTCGTCGTCGCTGACCTGGGCTAGCCGCTCCCAGTCGATGTCGTCTTCGTCCGACGACTCTGCCGCCTCCGCCTCCGCCTGCGGGACCACCGGCGGAATCGCCGCCGCCGCCTGGATCGCTGCCGCCTGCTCGGCGGCCTCCCTCGCAGCCGCCGCCGCCTCTGCAGCCGCCGCTGCAGCCACCGACACCCGCAGGGCGACGAGGTAACCCGGCGTATCGTCGGGATCGCCGTCCTCCCGAAGAACCAACTGCTCCGATGGCAGTTCCACCTCCGGCGGGGCGGGGGGATCGGCAGTCGCCGACGCAGGTGGTGGAGGGGCCCGTCGGCCGCGTGATTCTGGACGGGGGCGCGGGACGAGGTCTGCCGTGCCGCCGGACTCCACGAGCCGGCATGCGCGAATGACGACGGCGTAGTCTTTGCCGTCCCAGAATGCGTGACGGCCGGCGATGTTTTTGCGGCCGCCGGTCCGCTTCTCCTCCGCGGTGGCGCCGGGCCCACGCCTCGGGTAGCCGTCCTTGTCGAGCTTCCAGTCGTGTGGCAGACGGCAACCCGGCGGCACGAGGAGCCCAAACCGGTATAGCTCCTCTGTCTCCGGCGTGCTCAGGCTCGACGGCCACGCGCTCGGTCCGTCGCCGCCGCCGGTGCCGGAGCTGCTGCCGCGGTGGAACGACATCTCGCCGGCGAGCTTTTTAGAGGTGGATGTGACGACGGGTCGGGGGAAGGAATGGTGTGAGCGGCGACGGGCGGACGGGGGTGGTTTTTATAGGGCAGACGGTGGGGGCGGCGGGCGGACGGGCAGTAATGGCGACGGGCGGGTGGGTCGACGGCATTGATGCGCACGGAATACGATGGGGCGGCAGGCGGCGGGACGGCAGTCGAGGGCGGTGTTGCGGCAGTCGAGGGGACGGACGGGACGGGACGGCGGGGCCGCTATCCACGCGCCACGACGCGTTTTCCGCGGGCGACGCATCGCGGATTGACCACCGACGCTGTTTGACCACCGACGGGCGCGTACGTACGTCGCCCCACTGTACAAAAATACGCCGTCCTTGCGCGAGTGTAAAAAAAAAGCCGTCGCCCGCCTGTACAAAAATACGCCGTCTTTGCGCGAGTGTAAAAAAAAAGCCGTCGCCTCGCGCACGGGTAGCGGGAGCGGGGCTGGGGGGAGGGTGATGGAGAATGACCATCCTACGCTTTTTTAAGTTTTTATATGAAGGGGTATAAGACGATCTGAACCGTTGGTGTGTCTAGGGGTTGTACCGAAGAAGAAGTGTCTCTCTAATCGCCTTAGCCTGGGTGGATGACAAGGCTATCTCTTCATCTGTTTTATGCACTGGAGATAAGGTCTCTTCAAATAAACTGAATCTTGAACTAGGGCGCTCGTATCGAGGGGATGAGTGTGTCTCCATGACTGAAAGAATGGTCTCTAGAGCTTCAGACCTAGGGTCATAGGTGTGAACCTTCTTCTCATACTTGTTGTCAATCTTGTGCTTACTGGTAGCGATGATTATCTTCTTCCTTGATGACCTGCAATCGCCGAAAGACCCAATAACTCTGAAAATTTGTGGCTCACGTAAATCTCTTGCCAACTGTCCAGAGAAATCGATTTGATGATGCAGTGACCATCCGCCTGAGCCATAATCCAGCAGTTTCCAAATCTCCAATGAGCAAGCATGAGGGGCTCGGTTGCGAAGGTCTCGGACCATACACATTTGGCCATCCATCTCCACTAGGTGCTCTCTTGATGACCAGGGCCTGGAAGTCGGGCGTGGTGCTGCTCGTGCCCAGAAGGGTGGTGACCGGACGCATGTGAAGGTTTCCTCTGTGATCGAAAATCATATGATGGCAACTCTTGGTGTTGTAGGATCCATCAACCAGTGCAGGCAACCGTTTGCAAACACAGGTGGTAATTTGTTCAGTGATGCATTGGTAACGGCGGAACTTACTAATTCGCGTAAGCTGGAGGGCACTCCACCGGCGACATGCCTCCAGCGATCGCCATGGCGACCTCCGGGCGTGTACACCTCGCACCTAACCCCGACCTTGTCATGGCACATACCGTTGATCAGCCTCACCACCTTGTGCTCCTTCGTGAGGGCATCAAACCCCAGCCCAGTAGTGGACCTTGATGCTATGTCCGTTGAAGGCGGCAGACGCGTGGCTGCCCGTGTGGCCGCGTTGCAGATGTAGTAGGCCGTGGAGAGACCGTCGTACAGAAGGGTGAGGCCGCGGCACGGCACCGGCGTCACTACCTCCACACAGTTGCCACGGGCGCCGTCAATGGTGAACAAAAGGTGCCCCCAATCTCCGGTGCTGCCGCCTGATGACGACGGCGTGAAGGGGCGAGCGTACACCGCGGTGGAGAGAAATCTGGCGGTGGGTGAGATGTAGAGCAGCTTCTGTGGTGCCCTCCGTGCGGCCATGTGGAGGCTGCGGAACTCATCGGAGGAGAGTAGCGCGTCCCAGGAGCGGCAGACGGCCCGGAAGCGGAGGACGGATTTGACGGGGAGCCACTGCAGCACCTCCGTGATCATCTCGTCCGGAAGCGACGCCGCCTTGTTGATCATCCTCCTCTTGTGGGCCTCCGTAGGCATGTCCTCCAGGTTGCTCCTACGCATCATCTTCAACCTCCGATCTGCTCCACGGGATAAATTCTTCCGTGACGAAGAGTGTTCGGCGGCGCAGGCAAACGCTCGGTTTCCCCACAAAACTGGGCGAGGAAGCAGTCTACACTACGAAACTGAGCGAGCTTGCGGGCCGGCCCACTTCTGTTGCTTCATGGCTGGGCCATAGATAGGATTAGTATACTATCTAAAAAAAGAGATTTCTCAAAAAAAATCTGAAAAAAAGAGGATTAGTTTTCCAAAAAGATATATCGTAAACATTACTTGTAGACCCTAAACTTGTCTAACAAAACTTGTAGACCCTAAATTGTCTCAAGACAAAAATTGTAGACCCTAAATTGTCTCAAGAAAAAAAATTGGTAGACCCTAAAAGTATTGTAAACAAAATTTTACATGTAGATATAGGTGTCTACTATAGGAATAGGGATTTTATCAGCATATTTTTATATGTGTGCGCAAAAAAATTTATAAGGATCAAAACAGGGTTTCCTTTTGTTGTCGTTGGGCCAGAAACTTGTTATTTTGCGCAGCCTGCAAATCAACATGTTATTTAGAAATAATATATAAGTCCCAAAAAAATATAGAAATAATATATTAAGAATACATAGAAAACATCTATATGTATTCACACAACAATTTACAAATGAAGTTAAACAGTACGTAGTAAATATGTTTTTAGAAGAAAAAATGTATACCGCCTCGAGCCGAAAAGCTAAAATGACATCTTGGAAAGGGTCAACAAACCGGTTGTGTTTCAAAAGTACTACTCCCTCCGTTCCCAAATACTTGTCTTTCTAGGCATTTCAAATTGACTCAACATACGGATGTATGTAGACATATTTTAAAGTGTAGATTCACTCATTTTACGCCGTATGTAGTCACTTGTTGAAATCTCTAGAAAGACAAGTATTTAGGAACGGAGGGAGTAGAAGAGTTGGGCGCGCTATGGTGCGCTGTTGGTGTTGTTAGGTTTCTTTAAAAAAAATCACTCACTCTATTTTCAAATATAAGGTATATTACTTATTTGTAAAGTCAAACCTGTTAACTTTGATCAAATTTATAGAGAAATTATGATTAGGTTCATCATGAAATGAGTTTGCATATTTCTTTTGTTTAATATCACCGATGTCAATATCTTTTGTTGTGAACATGGTCAAAGTTAAAGAATTTGATATTCTTTGTTGTGAACTTGGTCAAAGTTAAATAATTTTGACTTTTCAAAAACTGATACCCCTTATATTTTGGAACATTTGGAATATTTAGTTTGGTAGGTGGGGCAGACGATGAACCGTGTTTTATTTTTATTTTTATTAATGCGGTGATTTGATCTGCCCTTCGCGGTGTGGTTATATTTGTGTTATCTGCTAACCAACATATATTTATGTTCGGAATTTCTGCAGCGATGGCATCATGTACTATATTGGTGCTACAGTATCACATGGTGACACTTCTTTTTTCTAGGTGGTAGAAGGGTGTGCGGTATTGATAATGTTTTTATAGGCCGACTGCTGCTGATTGATTTGAAAAATCATTGGCGCAATTAAAACAGTAAACCAAATTCAAAATTAAATATCTCAATTGAATGAAATAGTTTCAAAATTAGGGAACATCGGAAATTAAAAAATTGAATGGGAGAACTCCTTGAGAAATTTGTTGACCCGGTTAAAATTAGGTGACACAAATCTAAATTGAAGACCTCAATTAATTGTGAGGCCTTCAAATTAGGAAGCATAGTGTATATGAAAGAACTGAATAAAAAGGCTTCCAGAAATTGTTGATCCGTTCAAAATCGGATGATCCAATTTTAATTAGAAACCTTAATTGAATATGGGCTCTTTAAAACCTAGAAACTTAGTGTTATAGTGGATTGTGCATCTCTTATTACCACACTAAGTAGCATCGACTAAATTCTCAAAACAAAATAGAATAAGTAGCATCGACAGGATGTCTCATACATGGGTCATATCATCAGGGAGATCAAGAGGTATGGGTCTGCGTGAGATCGTGCTTAGGGCATCTTCAACGGTGACCCGTCAATTTCCTTCCGCATCTGTCCGCAGATAGGGTGGACCAGTCCACAGACACAGATGCGGGAGCCAGCCATCCAACGCCGTATGCATATATTTCAATCACCTTTTAAATTAACATGATGAAATTTGTGCAAACACGATGGATTTCATTAAATTTCGGACATAATTTACATAAAGAGATTGATATTTCGACTGTTTAACTAAAAACTAAAAAAAATAAACTCTATATCGAACGACAGCCTCGTACATGTGGTCACCTCGTCCTGCCGCATCGTCGTCGCCGTCCACGCCGCCGCCATCGTCGTCCCTCCAGTGACGCAAGGCCTTCGGAGGGCCGCGACAGCCTTGTCGGGCTGCTGCCTGCCGCTCTGCCTCCTGCTGCGCCGTGTAGGGTGCCGACGGCGCGGGCAAAGCCCTGGCGGCGGTCTTGCCCTTGCCGGCGTCGATGGTGTCCCTAAGAGACCACTCCTCGGTGTACTTGGCGGTCTCGCTGTTGATGGTAGTGTCTAGCATCCGTCTCATTGGTGGTGATGAAACGGTCAAGGGCCCACGCGGCAGTGAGGTCCGCGTCGTTGTGGACCAATTCCGGCGCCTCGTCGGTCTTGGGAATGAGGAGCGACGATCGATGTTACACCAGTCGTACCGCGCCCGCTCTTCCTCGGAGACTATGGCCCTCGACCTGAGGGGCTGCCGACACCGGCTCCTCCAAAGTAATGGAGGATGCGGCCGCAGGCCTTCCTTATGGACTTGAGTGGGATTTCGTGTGAGCCTTTTGCTTGAGGAGCAGGGGGCTAGCACATGTTGTTATTGCTAATTACTAGTCGTTATCATAATTACTCATCAATGGGGGTCACTCGATCGATGGAGAGGAGTGGTGGGAGGGGAGTTGAGCTGAATGCAGTCCTACTTTGAGCGATATAAAGATCTTGTTATTCCTACTGTCAAAAAAGAGGAAGATATATCTTTTATCCCTCAACTTTAGCGATAGTCTATAAATAGTTCCTCAACTCAGGAATCAT